TCATCTTCGGCCTGGCTCCCCCACAGCTTCTGTATTAATGTTTGTAGTTTCTTGAATTGTTATCTGGACTTGTTGCATCTTTAATTCTTGTTCCTTGTGTTTAGTAGCCACTTGAGTTTGTCTTTGCTCCATAATTCCTTCTGTCTCCACAAGAAGATTCAAGGCTTGAGCAGCACCCATTGGTCCTTGAATATCTTGCTGTCTGGCCTCTCCTGCTTCTTCCCTTTCTCTAAATCTTGGAAATGGAGGGTAATCAGCCTTTAATACGTTGCTGTAAAAATCTCTGGCCTTCAAAATTGAGTTGAGACAATATCTTTCTCCCAAGTAATTCACCACTAATCCGGCTGGAACTTCCCATCTGTATTGCATCTGGCAGTTTTTTAGTTCATCCACTAAAAACGCATAATCTTTCCTAGATCTCAACATTTTAGGTGGAATTTCCTTCAAAACTAACACCTCCTGACCTGCAATTTGCAACTTGGTTTTATAGGATGCTTGTAGTATCAGGTTCCTTGTATTCCTGGTAGCAAAGTAGATTACAATATCTCTTGGTAATTGTTTCTGTCTGGCAATCCATGAATTAACGCGGTAAATTTTATCTATTTGCCAATCATACTCAGCCCTGAGTTGACCAATTAATTGGTCAAAAGCTTCTGCAAGAATCTCTTTCAAATTTTCTTGGTTATTTTCTTTCAGGCCTCTTATTCTCAAAGCAAATTTCATCGCTCTATATTGCATCATTGTAATTTCTGCTTCCGACTTTTCAATCTTACTTTGAACATCTTCAACTTTACTCTCTAAGTGCACATTGGACTGGTTAATTTCTTCCACACTATCTTCCAATGAGGTTATATAGCTAGCCAGACCCTTAAAGGCATCCACTATGTCTTCTCTTATTTGTTGATTACAAGTTTGAATTAAATCCTTGATTTCAGACATTTCATCAGAGACTTCTTTAAAGTCAGATGTGATCTTCTCCTCTATTTTTGCTTCTAACACAGAAGCCTGTTCCTTTAAGGCACCATGAAGAGCTTCAAGAGTTAAAACCTCCGCAGCGGGAGGAGGTAATAATGACTGCAATTTGCTTGTCTGGGCTGGAGAACTGCCAGTGCTCTTTGGAGCAGTTATTTTGAGTTGCTTTGAAGCCATTTCAGCTATTCAATCAAACTTATCTTCAGCCGAATTGTTAAGTCCAAAAAAATCCACCTAATCCAATTATTAAGAGTAAGTCAATGCTGTTTTGAATGATCATAAACTCTTAGTTTTTTTAACAGTGTTAGAAAACAAGATGTAATTGCTTGTTAAGTTTCAGTTTGACCACACCCTTTAATATTCAGGCACCATTTTCGCTTCTATCTCGTTAATTTTAACAGAAGGAGCTTTCGTGAAATGGAATTAAATTTTAAAGTACTTGCAGTTGTAAAATGCCCCAGTATGTGCTCTGCCTGCTTCTTATTCAAATGTAGATCAAAACATTGATTGCAGGGATGGTCGTGACTCTTTGATCTGCTATAGCAGACGCGTCCTGAGAGCGGAGTGTGTCGAGCTACAGGGGAGCTTACACCTTCCAAGCCCCAGAAATTACTCCTGGGGGTTTAAGGGAGCTCTATCCTCATTCGGCAGCTCTCCTCTTCCTATTCTCCCATGGAAAGAGTTTTCAAACTGCCAGACAGCTGATTTAGGCTGTCCTGGCAGTGTAATGCAATCTCGGGGCTGGAGCATCCCAGAGGGATGTCATCAGAGCCTTACAGCCTTTATATCCCTGATTCCAAAAGAAGATCAAGATCTCAGCCAGCCAAAAAATTATAGGTCCATATCATTACTTAATACATATTATAATTTTTTTGCTAAAATATTAGCAAATAGGTTGATGTTAGTTATGCAACAAATGATTCACAACGATCAATCTGGTTTCATACAAGGGAGACAAATGAAAAGTAATGTAAGACAAATTGTTAATATATTGGAGTATTTGGGAAAGAATAAGCAAGTCCCCGCAGTGCTTATATTCTTGGATGTGGAGAAAGCATTTGATCGAGCGAATTGGCAATTTTTAATGAAAATAATACAAAAGATGCAGTTTGGAGAGTATTTTACACAATCTATCAAGGCAATATACCAAAAACAAACAGCACAAATTATAGTTAATGGTAGTCTAACAGAATCCTTTAAAATCAAAAAATGAACAAGACAGGGGTGTCCCCCATCTCCATTATTGTTTATT